TTCTTTCAGTTTGGCCCCCAGATAAGTGCACACAACTCAAGTGCATCCATTAACAGGAAGCATTCACATTCAGCAGCAGAGCCTTCTGGCTGGGCCCTTAGGAGGTACTGATCATGATTGCTAGATGATGGGAATTTTTTCCAGCTAAGAGTATTTGTTTCCATCTGCTCTCTTAAGTTTCTGAGCTGCCCTCCTGGTGCCTCAGTGCCACTGAGGTGGGATCCCTGCAAGGGTGATTCGCATCCAGCACACTTGCTACTCCCTGGAGGTTTAAATGATGTGGCAGACAACCTCAACTCCTCTTGCTTTCCCAGCTGTGGTTTGGGGGACAGCACAGGCCTTAGGTCCTTCCTAACAGGCATGAAGGGATGAGGCCACCCTGTTGGGGGAGAGACTTAGCACTGCAGGCTCCAGCGGCATTCTGACAGCAAGTCTCCAGGCCAGGGAATGGGCCCTGGCTCCTTTTAGCTGCCAGAGTAGATGTACCCCTGGAAATGTACAAAGTGGCAGAAAGTGTATTGCATCTTGCTCGTGGCTCAAAATGCTTTCCCATCTAACCACCAAGCAGTGCAGGGTGAGGCTGAATTAAAGTCATTGCAGGGGAAATCCAGGAGAATGAGCAGAAAGAGGAGATGATGTAGGGACATTGGCATACGGGAGGAGATGCGGAAGAGATGCACCAGCCCCAAAAGTGATTAGCTTCTGTGAGGAGGCAGGTGCAAGCAAAAGTTTTATAAGGCCATGTGAGAAGCTATTGCATATCCCAACACAATACTGCCTAAGGGTAGATGATGGCATTATTTAGGCTCAAATGCCAGGAAAGGTGTTGCAGACCAAGTGATCCTTTCTACAGAATATATCACAAAAATCTGACTCATGGTGCAAGAGCTTCCACCACCCCTCAGCAGCACCCATCAGATGTCTTTGCTTGGGAACAGGTCCTCACTGCTGATGCTCACACCCTCTCATCACTCCAATCCAGTGGCTAAAATGGGTGCTGTGTGAATCTACAAAGCTGCTGGTGCTGTACAGGAACCCAAAGGTATTGCTTCTGAAAAGGAGCTTCCTTCATTCACGCTTCCTGGGAACAGGAATTAGTGGCACTAAAGAGCCGTGACAGACACATGTGGAGGTTAGGATTTTCTTACACTGCTGCATTCCTGGGAAACCATCTTCCACCTGATTTGACTGTAACAATAATTCTTTCACTGAGCCACTGTCAGTGAACAGGGTGGGCTGAACCACTTTCCCTTCTTGTTTTTGTTTCAACCCCCCTGTGCTGGTAGTGCCACGTTAGTTGTATCAAAACTAAAATGTCTTTTCCTGTGGGTTTTTTTCCACCCTGTTTTTCTACAAGAGAAAAAGTCAACGTAACAGCATTTTGCTGAGCCCTGTTTCTGTCTCTTTTTTATCTGCGTAACTGATGCCAATGGAAACATTAGCTACTCTTTCAAACAGCAAGCTGCAGAGGCCAGCAAAATACATGTGGGTTTGTATATATATATATATATATATATGTATACAAAACATTAAAATAATGCCTACTTGCTTTTTTTCTTCGTTTTATTTTTTAAAACAGAAAAAAAAGCCATAGATGTTTGAGGGAAGATTTCAAGACGAAGCACTTTTCTGAGTGTTGTTTTGGTCAGAGGGAAGCCAAGAGTAGATTCTCAGCTGCTTACATGGATATGGCTCCTTTCTGAGAGCAAGGACTGATACCAGGGAAGTTCTAGTCTTTTGTGGGTTCAAAGATCAACCCATATAGAGTTTCTGCTCCCTGCATGACTTCCATTTTATGGGCACACAAATGTTATCTATTGTTAGATCTGCAGAGCCAAAAGAAGCTGGGGAGGAAATGCTGGATTGTGTCCCACCTTGTAACACCATATTTGTCTGTAATTTATTACAGAGGTCCTGATACATGTATTTTATAAGCAGGTTTAGGTATTACATATATCTATGTAGATATTATGATATATATGTAATACACATTACTGCAGTCAGTGAAGCTCTAGCAGAGTGTCCATCACATTAGGGGTGAGGCAACCAACTCATGTCCCCTGGTAGTGCTCCCCACAGGCTCCAGGTGTGGAGGGGTTGAAGAGAGGAGAACAGAGACCTCTCCTCTGTCCCCAGTGCAGGACAGAGACCTTTCCCCGTGGTGCATCATGTCCGTGTAGCAGGAGGAGGAGTGTGAGTCTTTGTACGATGGTCCCAGGTGGATGCAAGGCATTTGTTCCTCAGTAGGCTTTAAACTTTAAATATCTTTTATGTATTTTTCCAGTCTGTGCCCATGTCTCATTGCTTTGCATGCACTTGGATGATTGACACTACAAAAGAGACTGCTTTGACACTGGGGGCTTTACTGTGGGGAAGTTAATCTTATTCAGGGAATATAGGCTTTTGTGCCACTTTTAGGAGGATTCGGATCTCCAAGTGATGGATGCCATTGCTTTTATTTCTGTGTCCATCTATGTGGTTTAAGGTCTCCCTTGCTCCTTGTCCCAGGAAGCTTGGTGGGTTACAGCAAGTGCTGGGGAGAAGCAGAGATTTCAGGTGCAAATTCAGAAAATCTCCCTGTTGTGGAGACATCCCCAGCCACCATCTATGGGGGGGCACAGCAGGACCTCTGACCAGCCCTGGGAACTGGAAGCAGCACACTTCAGACTGCAGTTATCATATGTTTTTCAGAGCCTTGGTCTTTTCTTTTTTCACTTAGCATCTTTCAACCAGCTGAAAATTACAACCTTCAAAACACATAATGACTGCGTCCTTACAAACACCATGAATGATTTAAAAACCTCTCTGGGCTCTTGTCCTGCAGCAGAAATACCCCATGAAAGAGAGTGGAAGGGTTATTTTTATGCTGGAAGACAGAGGTGCTTTGCACAACCGTGTGTTTGTAGGTGTGGGGACCAGACTTAATGGGGAACAGAGCAGGCACGGGTCCCTAGGTGGTTTATGTGGGGAGCTCCCAGGAACCCTGCCTAGACACCTCCACCAGTCCTTTAGGGCATCAGCAAAATGGCTATTGAAAAGTTTTGTGACCATTAAAATGCATGTCTTGTGTAGTCCACTTTTGTGGTAGGGACTTTAGAAGAATAAAACCCATTAAAATCTCCCCCAGGTGCACACACTTTTGACAGACTAATAGGAAGTGGTGCACTAGGCTGTGTTGAGGGGTATCTTTTTTAATGGCAATCCCCAGCTTTCTGTTGTATTGTACAAACCTTGCCATTAAAAGAAAAAAATAACCCATCTGTATGTTATGGTCCAATTTTATCGGTAGGTATTGACATGAAGTTTCACCTTCTATACTGGATTAATATGTGTGATTATATGTAACTTGTAGCAGTCAGTGGGGGTTTTAAAATTCATTGCATTATTCTTGTTCTGTTAAAGAGTCACGGGTCTCCCAGCAAATTATGAATACTTTTAAGGCATGGATTTTAGGCACTGAGGCTGCCTTATTTTGTTGTAAAACTCTCTGAGCCCTCTTCACTGCTTTGCACTGAGGCCTGGGGTGCAGCTCATGATCCCAGAGGCCTTTGCCCCTTAATATGAATGGCCTCAGGAAGCCCCAGCATGGTGATGGTGATGGGAAGGTGGTCTGTAAGCTGTGCTGGAGGGAGAGATGCACATCTCACTAAATGCTACATAAACCAGCTCTGGCTGTTAGTGTTGAGCTAAATGTCCCAGGTGCCTGCTGCTCTCACACTAGAGAGGGATGCAGAGGAGGGCAATGGGGCTCTGTAGTCCCTGCACTGCCCACCAGTCAGTGTTCCTATCATCCTCCCTCTGCCTCGGATGGGGGAAGCCATTCCCAGCACCCCGTCACCATCCCAGGTTGTCTTTTCCTTTTTAATACTTTCTCTTTTGCCTGTTGCAGAAGGGCCAAAGTCAACTTCAGCTGCGGATGCCCCAGTGTTTGCATTTGCAGACCCCATGTGGCTTTACATCTGCTTCTACTTTCACCAGAGCTGTCTACTGCAGTTTGTTCCTGGTATTTCATATCCGGGCACTGGTCAGTAACTATCACCAACTCAGTTAAGTACAGGAGTATTTTCTTGTTGCTGACACTTTGTCTTTCCTCCCTGCTTCTTGCACGTGAATGTGTTTCCCTCCTCCTGGCATCTCCCGCGTTCTGCCCCTGGTGTGTGCATGTGCTGCGGGGCTCTGGTAAGGCAATGTGCAGAGAGGGAAAAAAGGAAATTTGGGGGAAGAAGTGGATTTCAGCTAGAGTTACAAAGAAATCTGAGACACTGGTGTCATGTCTTTGCCTGCAGGATGAGGCTGCAGAGGTGCGTCGGAGCCAGGTCTAGGCAGGCACTGCTTTGTCCTCTTCCTGGGACGTTTTGCCAGGAGCAGCAGGAGAAGCATCACAGGCAGGTGAGCAGGAGGGACTGGTGGGCAAGGCTCAGGGACTTGAGGCCACGCTGGCCAGGAAGCTTGGAGGTTTGGCCAGCAGCCCCACACGGCTGCTGCCCCACATCACTTCAGTAAGGACCGCTGCTGCCTCACCCCAAACCCGCGCAGAGATGCTGGTGACCAAATGTGCATCTCTGTGACTATGAATAAAGCCCCAGCTGCGTGTCATTTTGAAAGACCCTAATTTTAGCTAGCCAGTGCAGCGCCCGGCTGCGCATCACTGAGGTGCCGTGGCACACACGGAGGGCAGAGCTTTCACCCTTCCTCTTGGGTGAAGGGGTTCTTTCTGTCCGAGGCTGGGGACGCAGGAGGACGGGGAAGAGGGAGGTGCATTTTCTCATGGGGACAGGGTAAGGAGAGCGCCGGGCATGGGGCCGTGCCCCGGCGCAGCCCGCTCCAGCGAGCGCTGCGTGCCTGCGCTCAGCGTGCGCGCAGTGTGACAGATGACCTATGGAAACCGTTTCGGAGCACTGCTGGGGTTGCCAGGACAACCCGTGCTCCCTGGGCCTGCGCCTGGCCATGTGACAGCCGCCTTGACGTCAGCTGGAGGCAGAGCCTGCGGTTTCGGCCGCGCAGTCAAAGCCGTGTGAGCCCAGTGGATGCAGGAGTTATCCCCGCCGCCGCTCCTCGGGCTGCCGGAGCATGGACTATTAACAACTTGCATTTCTGCAGTGTGAGGTAACCGTTTGCTTTACGTTCTCATCAGGTATTTCTTGTTCTTTCCTAAAAAAAAAAAAAAGAAAAAAAAAAGAATAGAAAGCAGCTTATCGGGACTGATATTTTTTTCACTTGTTTGTTTTGGCTGGAAGTTTGCCTTGATGAACAAGCCCGGCACCATCAGATAAATGCAAAGCGGCTTCCAGTTACTAATTCTGTGTGCAGACTGCAAAGTGGACTTAAATTTAGATTAATGATCCATGAAAGGAGAAGAAAATGATATTGTTCTCATTTGACACTTTAGGAATACAAATGAACACGAGTAATCCTAAGCTAATGCGTTCAGGAGTTGTGAGAAATTCTGTTTAGGTTTTCTGTTGATTGGGGCATCTCTACAGCTTTATAACTCCGTTGGAGCTTAGCTAATTAGGTTTTTAAAGCTGCCCAATTCGGGCGGGTTTGTACCTAATGTGTTCGCTGAGGGGGAAGCCCGCAGCCGATGCCGTTAGTTACAGCTTGAAATCCAACTCCCAAAGTTCGAGTCTTTAAACCATCTTTGTTCACACAGAGTCCCTGCATGCTCCCCGGGTTTTCTGTCCCTCTCCTGGGGCACGCGGCACTCTTGACCGTGTAGCGTTTACAAAGGGAAGGATCAAGAGCTTCCTGAAAAATTGTCTGAAACATGCCCAGAGAGCAGCGCTGCTGAACATGGGCTTTTACCCTTTTCCTCGCATGCACACACACGGCTTGGGTTTTGCCTTTTTTTTTCTGTTGTGGGTTGAGAGCATTTAGAATAGCCAAAAAAAGAACTGCAGCATGAACTGCATCACAGTCATTGAAGAATGAAACGCTATTTGGGTCCTTTCGTCAAAAGAAGAGCTGGTTTGGGTCTGTTTCTGTATTACATGTACTCCGAGGGGGCTGTTGCGGGGAAAGAAATCACAGGGCTCCTGAAGTTTAGTGCCACAGCCTGAGTTTGTTTGTGTGGGAACATACAGATTCATTTTAAGAACAGATTACAGCTGAAGCATCGTGTGCGTTGTTTCCTGGAAAAGTATGCTCAATCGGTTTTATCTTCTCTAATTATATGCTCCTGTTCCGTTCCTCCCAAAGTTCAAAGGGTTTATTGATAATGGTAATGATTTTCTAAAGCAGCTGCCGCCCTGAAACAATCACAGAGCTACAAAACAATTTGAAACACAGAGCAATAAAAGATAAAAAATTCTATGAAAATTATTTGAATGTGACCAAATGCAGCAGAAGCAATTGTTTCAGAAAGGGAGGCAAGGCAGAGATTAAAACTGAAAACACTTCTGTAAGGAAAGTTATGGCTTAATGCTCTGGATTTCACTGCATTTCCTATTATTAACAGAGCAACAAGGATAAATGCATCTGAAACCTCTAAACCATTCCACTTGCTGTTATCTCATATGCTCTTTCCAATTTAACTCTTGTGCTTAGAATAGCAATGTTAGGGAGGCTGGAATATTTTTAATTTCCTTTATTAAATTCTTTACCTGATGCCCATGCATCAGTGCATGAGGAATCTTGACTGGCTCCTTGCAAGTGAGTTTAACCAAGGTTTACAGGAGTCTTGGAGCTTCCCTGTGGAGGTGCTAGCACCCCATGTGCAGCCTTCCTGTGGGGAGTGGGAGTCTCAGTGTTCTCATAGGGGTGCAAACCAGTGTGAAGAGCTGTGTTTTGGCTGATGGTGGTCCCTGCCCCTCACCTGCATGGGCGGGTCTCCTCAGAATCTGTGGAGTGGGGCAGGAGGGGAGGTCAAAAGGAGGCAGTTGATGCGACCCACCAGCCTGTTCACCAGCACACACCAGTGGGGTAAGTCCAGTGAGGGACTGAGGCATGGAGTCTGGGGATTGATTCCTGCTGAGCAGCACCTGCCATTCGAGAGAATTCATTAATTTCCAGTCTGGAGAATTTGGCTTCATGTATAGCTGCAGTCTCCTGCTAGGTTTGACTTGAGTTGTCGGTGTGGCAGTGATGCTCACGAAGGGCTGGGGCTTCACCTCATTCATTTAGGCTTGCATACAGTGTCTTGTAGCTTTTGATCCCTTGAAAACACCTGCAAGGGCAAAAATAATTGATGCAACTTTTGCTGAAGAGCTGTTAATTAGAAATATTTATAAACAGCTGGAATGGACATATATTGCATTAGTGGTAACTGAGCAAGTCTCCTAAAAGCTCTAGCTTGACCTGAGAGAGGAGGATGATTAATTCCTTCACATTTTACCAGGAGGGTCCCAGCCATGCTGTGGCAGGAGGCAGCTGGTGAGTGCTGCTGAGGTTTCACAGGGGTATGTCCTGCTTGGCAGTGACCACCTCTGCCCCCTCTCTTTGAGCCTCTGGGGGCTTTGGGAATCCCATCAGCCCAGGCAGGCTTGTTTGAGCCCCAGAGGTGGGGATGGCTGAGATGTGGTCAAGCAGGCAGCTGCAGGCAGTGCCAGAGTGTGAAGCTGGAGGAAAAGGCAGAGAGGAATAGCAGGGGACAGTGTCTGAGTTGTCCCACGGCTGCATGCCTCTGCTCAGTGGTTTCATGCTCTCGTTTTCACTGGTCAGCTGTGTACCAAATCCTTTTGACAGACAACTGGATTTTACCCTGTATGTGTGTGAAGTTGCCAGGCAATGTCATGCTAAGCATCCCAAAATCTCCGCCCTGCCCTGATTTGACCCACCATTAGAAAAGAGCAAACAGCCTGTAGGTTCCTTCCTACCGCTGAGAGAGGGGGAAGGTGGCTGCCCCCCATCCCTCATCCTCTGCCCAGCACCGCAACTGTGACACTGCCAGCTTAGCTGGACTTGAAATCCTCTGACATAAAGAGAAAAATGTAAGACTGCACATGGGCTCGGTGAGAAACCACCTTCTTCTGGGGTGGCCAGATTGACCCTCATACCTCCCATCAGCCTTCATATCATTTACAAATGTCACCCCTTTGCACACACACAAGGAGGAGACGGTTTCTATTGACAGCCTCCTTGTCCATGGAGAAGGGTGAGGAAACTGAGAATTCCTAAAGAATTCAAGCATTTCACCTTAGGAAATATCTTGGCTAAAACCAGGACTGAGATTTCCTTAAGTCACTTCTCACACAACTGGATACATACAGGGAAATTAAAAAAAGACATGATCTGTTGATGCCTCTAGCCTAGTAATAATAACACACTCAAACCTTTTGTGTGCTCTGCCTTGTTCTGGTTGAGTTGATGGGCAATGACAATCTAAATTTAGGTTAGAAGCATAATAAAACCTAAAAACAACTTGCAAAGCAGAATGCTGACTCCTTCTTGCATTTTTCAAACAGAATGAGATTTCTGTCTTTTTAAAGGTCCTAGTTGTTACTCAAGGCAATAATTCAAGGGGAATAAAATCCCCTGTATAAGGGGGAGGAATTGTCAGACTAGGAACTGATGTAGGATTATGGAATTTCAGGCTCTTAAATTACATATTGCAGAAGTTGGTTTCCACCCTGCTAAAAATTGTTACATTGTGCTAATTTAATGTCCTGCATCAACGTTAGCAACAACTGGTTTAAATGATAACTGAGCTGCAGTACAGATTTGGTATTTTAATCAACAGTTGCTTTTCCAATTAAAAGCAGATGCCATGGGTATGGTACTCTGAATGCAAAATAAAAGTTGACCTGGTTGTCGGTTCCAAGTTAAAGCAACAAAAATCCTAACTCTGGAATGTTTTTGGTAGTCATATTTTAGAAGTAATCTTCCATGGTGAGCCAAAATCTGTGCAGACAGTTATAGTCAGATAACAGTTAAAAAAATAGACAATGTTTTGGCTGTACTTTCACTGCTGTTAAATTTATCTTCTTAAATAGCAGCGAGTATGAGTTGAGGTTTGAGAAACAGTAATTTTGTAATTATTTTACATGGATCGAATTATTCTGTCATCAAATTTGCATTTCAGACAGCATTACAGTATGAAAATATAATTAGAAACTGTACTTCAGGAATTGCTGAATGTGGTGTTTCCCAGGGGAGCACTGTGAAGAAGCTGCCCTCACTACAACTTTAGCAAATGTCAAAATCCTATAGGTGGAAAATGTAAAGGCTGAGTCGTAAAGTTCTTCTCCCTTCTGCAGTCTGCAGTCACTGTGAGCTTTCTGCCAAACTTCATTTTTCTGTAAGATTAATTTCCACAGAAACATCTGATCATTAAAAGCTGAAGTGCTCGGATCCTGCTCAGCTGAATTTCAGCCTGGCTGTGCTGAGAGCTGCTGAATTGCTTTCAGCCACAAAATGACACTGTGATAATGTAAGGATCTGATTTACACACAGGAAAGCCAAGAAGCTTGTACTTCAGGCTGAAATGCTGGTTTTAATCTGCCCAGAGCGTGGAATTCCCAGCAATGCCTCCTATCACAGGACAGAGCAGAGGCTGGGTCTCAGTTTACATCTATTTCTCTTCTTTTGTAATTCAAGACTTTTTGCTGTGCATGTTCACAATGTTATGCAAGCTTTTAGCTGTGTAAATCTCATTGATGTCAATCCTTTTTTTTTTTTCTATCCTTGTTATGATCTTTGGCTTATCATAAACAAATTAGCTGGAAATGAGCATATCTTTTCTTTTTAGTTGTGTTGATAAATCCTGTCCAACTTTGTCAGAGACACACACTTCGGAGAGCATCATGGCCAGTTTTTCTGACCACCTTGTTGGGATGTTGGACAGGACCATATGTGGAGCAAAGCCTGTGATGCGTGGAGCAAAGCCTGTGATGCACAAAGCAAAGCTGGAATTGGGAGGAGGTAGAAGCTGACTGTGGGGCATGTTTGATGCTTCAATGTCCCTATAGGTCTCTCGCAGTCCTGCTGAGAGACAATCCCAGTGCTCTTCCAGAGGAAATGTCAGGGCCAGGCAGGAAAAGGAGCAGTGTGGACCTGTGAACTCAGGACCACATGGATGATTGGGTGGGCTGGTTCCCAGTGACTCAGGGATACAGGTGCTCCCAAAATACTCTGTGGAACAAGACCACGTGCCTCCCAAAGCCACCTTC